TGCCTCCAAATATGAGAGTGAAACATGGAAGGATACCATTATGAACGATTCTCTTTCTGTTGATGTATAGCATTAGATCAGGAGCGGAGTTATAGATATACTCCCCGAGTAAAAGTTGGTATTTTGAGGCGCAATTTTAACACGTGTATGCTAAGAATATGTGGAGAAATTTTCTTACAGGTCTTCGACTTCTCACTAACTACGAAGAGTTAGGCCCTGAAACTTGGAGGTCATATCAGGTAAAGCATAAGTACACACCTCCCTGAGCCGCAAGATGATACTCGTTGTGGTGGCTGTGCACGAGTCGAAAAACCGGATATGCTAAGAATATGTGGAGGGGTGTAATTCTGAGGAAATTCTTATTGCTTATATGTACAATTTTACTCGAATTCGTATAGAAATTCCGAAAATTCGTGAGGAAACTCCTGAGCTCAGCTGAGGGAACCAAAGATATATTCCTCCAACAGTCCTCACTGTCCACTTTTTGATGCTCTGCGCGGGGCGTTGTTATCTACATCATTTCCACAGATGCAGTTTCACTTAGCAGTCTAATTCGTCGTGTCTCATTTGCTGAGTGGCATTGACAAGCAGAAGAGTGTTTTCTGGGAAGTCACGAAATATAACTCCGAATCGTGGGGAATCGACGAGATCAGCTTATGTCACTGAGTTCAGCTGGTGGGTATAGATTGGAAATCCACCTCGTATGTTGGAGTTGCATCCGTTTTTCGTGAAATGGCGTAATACTCTGTGAAAAACCCCGATATTCGCGGTGATATGCACTAGTCGTGAAATACGTCTTTAACTAGTGTTTTTCATATCACTAGGGTGGTGAAACTCTACTTTAGAATGATATCAAAGTTTGTGGGAGCTGACTCGTCCTAGCTCGAATACGACTCTGCGCTCTCGCTTCCGGCCGATATTCAACTCTTCCCCCGGGACACAACGCCAACCAGGCTGAGCCAAAGCTGCTATTTCTGCCCACTTGGATCCCTACTCATGCCCATTAGGGCGACACCTTGAGTTAGCATAGTGTAGGCCCATTCCCGATCGGCTGCATGTCAGTCCATTGCACGAACTATTCGAAGTCCTAACTGACTCGTCCTAGCTCGAATACGACTCTGTGCTCTCGCTTCCGACCGATATTCAACTCTTCCCCCGGGACACAACGCCAACCAGGCTGAGCCAAAGCTGCTATTTCTGCCCACTCGGATCCCTACTCATGCCCATTAGGGCGACACCTTGAGTTAGCATAGTGTAGGCCCATTCCAGATCGGCTGCATGTCAGTCCATTGCACGAACTATTCGAAGTCCTTTCTGACTCGTCCTAGCTCGAATACGACTCTGTGCTCTCGCTTCCGATCGATATTCAACTCTTCCCCCGGGACACAACGATAACTAGGCTGAGCCAAAGCTGCTATTTCTGCCCACTCGGATCCCTACTCATGCCCACTAGGGCGACACCTTGAGTTAGCATAGTGTAGGCCCATTCCCGATCGGCTGTATGTCAGTCCATTGCACGAACTATTCGAAGTCCTAACTGACTCGTCCTAGCTCGAATAGGGCCGCATTAGCCGAACGAGGAGCTTGGGCGCGCAGAAAAAATCTTGGGCCAGAGGGAGAAAATCTTGGGCGGGCGGAAGAAAATCTTGGGCCAGAGGGAGAAAATCTTGGGCGCGCGAGAGACGAGGGGAATCGTTTCCCAAGGGAGAGAATCTCGCTCGCCCTCAGAATTCACCTCCGTAATATGAGGAAACTTAAGTATGGCAAGCGTGCAAGAATCGTGACGAAACGTCGTCGTCGTCACATTGTTCGTCACGGAATATGATAACCCTTATTATGATGAGTTTCCACTGCTACAACTGGAGACATAACCGCTCAGTAGTGTTA